CATCGACACAATTTAGACCATATAGGAGGCAGGCTCTGACCCTGCTTTTCAGGGCCAACTCAGCAGAAGGACCGAGATACTTGAAAAAATTTCTCCCTACTAGTACTAGTAAATCGAACTTGGGTCTCCTATATATATATATATATACGGGGGCAACATCACAGATGCCTGTGCCAACCTCCCATACAGACAAAAACCAGGCGTCGATGGCCTAGTGGTCAGGCTACCAGACCAATAATCGTGAGATTGTAGGTTCCGGGGTTCGAGCATCAGCTTGGTTTAAAGTGTCGTTGGGAAAGGCACTTTACGTGAAATTCCTATTTGGCTCTGTCCTTTCAGAAACGGACATTACACTAGGAGGTCCCGCCTTCTTAAACGTAAACCTATTTCACCATTTTGCAGACAGAAACGACAAAGAGAAAGAAAAGAAGTAAGGCCCATCAGTATCCTCCAACCACCCACAAACAACAGAGGGAAAGAAAAGAAGTAGCTTTGGACCAACTAGTGACACCCTCCAACCACCTACACAGGGGGAAAAAAGTAAGACCCACAAGTTGCACTCTTCAACCATCAATGCAGACAGAGAAGCAACAGAGGAAAAGAAAGAAGTTGAACGAAAAAAGTAGAGCCTATGAGTGACACCCTCCAACCACCAAATAAGAGAAATAACATAAACAAAGACTGTGACACCCTCCAACCGTGCACAACTCACAGAGAAAAATATAGTTAAAAATTTAAAAACCAACAACAAACGACCCCCCCACCCCCCCAAAAAAAAAATTTTTTTTTAAATCCAACCAAACACAGAGCGAAATAATTTCAGAATGAACATTTTAAAAATATTTTTCTTGACATCAGCAGACGGACACCCAAACTCTTCAAATCTCGGTGATGAAAATTCGGAATTTACAAAAAAATGTCTTGTCTGAAATATAATATACAAAATACTGGTACATTTCAATTGAACTTTTAAAGTAAATTAAAGCAGGATAAAAAGTCACAAGAAGTGATGGTCATATCGGGCATGAATATCCCGGAAACAAAATCATTGACAAACAAACAATTGCAAAGAAAAAAAAATTGTCATTGAAAAAGATGTATGCACACATTGACAAATAGATCATTTAGGGGGCAGGCTGCTTCCCCTAACCCTGTCAGGGCCAACTCAGGCTGAGAGTACTGAGACAGAAACAACATCTCAGCAGACTGATGGAGTAACATTTTTTTGGGGGTGGAAAGCAACCCCCCCAGAGAACCAATCTTATTTCCCAAAACAAGTTGTCGATACGGCAAACATGGGGGAGGGCAAGGGAAAAACGGCAGGAGGATGGAGGATGGCCGCAGGGTGTGCTTGGAGGGGGGGAACAAAGAAAGGAAATAGAATTATTCCACAAACTCCGGTAATGCCACAGAAAGAAGCCTATGAAACAGAAGCAACACATTTATAGAGATATATCACATCATAGATATTGGGGAGTTGGAGAGAAAAATCACGGATAAATCAGCTGCACAGAGAGAGAGATAAAGATATATA